GTTTCAAGCGGAGAAAAACTGTATCACATTTCATATCTACCTAAGGGCTATACGTAGACGAAAATAGAGAAAAATCGATTTTTCGATTTCTGCCGTCGCCAGTTTGGTAATAGGTGAAATTCACTCTTAATGTGGCAAAATGAAATCACTCTTCATGTTGAGCTGTATGTTTTGTGTCCTCTGCACGCAAAACTTGCGCAAGATTCCAAGTTTTGTCTCTTTCTTAGTTTGGGCCTTCTTAATTTCTGGTGTTTTCTCAAAGTTAACTGTATGTGAAAAATTTATGGATAATTATGGTTCTCGGCAGAAAATATGCCAAGAAGGCCAACTGAGGTGTAAATGTTTGGGCTCAGATTTAAAGCGTTCGAATTTTAGTAGGAACTGTTCAGTCGATTTCGAAGAGATTTAAAACTACTCAAACTGAAGCCGGCACCAAAATAACCACTTTGATGGTTTTACAAATGTTGTCACTACAGAACTTACCAGTAAATCCGAATGAGTCGATAGTCTTTCGCGGTCATCTTGCTCCAACGCTAGATCATTTTGTCAAGACAACTGCTCGCCACTGAAATTAATTATCGTCATTTTATAACAATGAATTCAATGAACTGGTATTCTAGGATTGGACTATTCAATTTGAAATTATCGCGCAGTAATGGCCCAAACACCGATTCAGACATAATTCCGTGACGCATATTCATATATTCCTGTCGAAATTGAGTATCTCGCAGTTATTGGCACGGAAGCTAGTGCCAACAGCGTTATTAGGTACAAATACCGTGAACATTCTTTTTTTTTGTTTTTGTTTTTGTTTTTGTTTTTTACAGTGTGTCCGCTTATGCCCTGTCCAAACTACGCCGGAGGAATTTCAAGTAAAAACGCAACAATCACCGGTCATTTTGGATTTGACTCTGAGGAAAACTCGATCAGGGAAATCACATGATTATCGTGACGCCATCGTTCTCGTAAAGCTCCGTTTCCAAAAGTTTTTCTGTCCACGCGAAAACGAAAAGCCGGCGTTTTCTAATTCCTCCGGTTTGAAGAGCGTTTTCACAAAAGCTCCGTTTTCGTGACGAATTAGTGTGTCCGACCGTAGAAATAAAGCTGCGAAAAAGTATAATAAAATTACTACTTTCCATTAACACACATTTCCTTCTTTTGCCAGTATGTAGCATTGTTTTAAAATATCTTTTTTTGATTTTACAAATAGATCTGTTAGCTTGAATTGAGCGGTTCGTTACCTCATTTCGAACCAGGAGACGATACTGTTGAGAATTTCAGCTTTCAAAGTTTTCAAATAGTCACGTGTATATGAATGAAAACGTTTTAGATGGATAAAAGAAAACTCTGTTAAATTCTCTAAAGAATATCACGAGGACAGTAATGAAAAAAAAAAAACTGCCCAAGCTAAAAAGGTGTATTCCAGCCCTAACGAAGATATTTTGAAAACTTTACACCGCTCAATTTAAAAGATTAAGTGACTTACAGCACTTAAAATACTTGTTTACTTTAGTCCTTAAATACGTATTAATTTTCACTGGTGTTGGCTCAGCCATCATAATATTGCATGTGACGGTTCAATTCAACCTCTCTTGAAGGGAAACTGACAGAAAGAAAAATTGAACCGAAGATAGTTGGAGAAAAACACTTAAAACTTTGCAGGTGATTCTCTTCCAAATGAAGTCGTTTGTTCAAGCCATTTGGGATCAGCTGGCACAGGTAAGTTTATTTTTGAACAAGTTGACTTTTTAATTGCTCAGGCCGTGATTTACATATTTACGTGATTTGCATATTTACGTTTTGTAATATTTGCCATTTGTTGACCTTTGTTGTCCCATTCCTAACTTGTTTTACGCATTCTGTGATTCAATGACGTTGAAAAATATTCTCCCGTAAGCCTGACAACGTCACTTTCCAGAGGATTAAAGCTGTTGCCTTGATCTAACGTAGTAGACAAATTTCAGCTAGCCTTTTTACTGGCCATTATCCTGCTAAAAAACCACATCACAATTCAATTTCATACAATAAACAAAATCGTGTTTCTTTACTCGATTGTGTGGTTACTCATATGTCTCTTACTGGTTACAGCCGGTTTCGAACGTTGCATAACACTATAGGCTATTGTACAAGCCATGCAGAATTCTACCAATCGAAAACATGTTTGAAAAATCCACCAAGGCCAAGGAGAAGGGTCCACAGCTTTGCTATACAAGCTGTAAACGCCGAACAATGAATAAAGCTGCAGTCCACAACAGGCAAATCCCAAAATACTCGTTGCGAAAGTGACCTTTGCGACCTTAATGGTCTTTGTTTTTCGTCGTTTTTCACTCGCCGTCTGTCGAGCTGCTCCAGTTTCAATCATCTCAAGTTGTCTCTGTACTTTTTCAGAGCTAAGAATGACTTTTAAACCGCTGTAAGTAAAGCTCACCGAGAGAAGAAATCCCCAAAGGATGAAAAATGACTGGCACACGATAAGCAGTGGAGTTAACTTAGCATTGGTAGCAGTGGTAGTTTCCGCAATTATGACGAGAACAAAGTGAGATGTAATGACCCCGCCTAAAAACGGGACACTTTGAAGCTTGCTGGGTCCAATGTGAACGTTGGCGACTTCCAAAAAAGCCAGATGGATCAAGGAGAACGAGGACGTTAGACAGGGGAAAGCAATACCATAAAACAATGTCACTAACCAATGCGGGCAGTGTAAACCATTCTCTCCAGACTCATAAGGATCAAGAAACATAAACAAGGCTCGGGTTACTCCTAGAATTACAAGCAGGGAGTTAATAGCTACGACCAACGGCCTTCGACCAAATCCTTGTTGTTGTTTTACTTCGGCCAGAGCGAGGAAAGAGTGTGTGGCTAACATGCTGAAAAGGACTCCGAACCCGGCCCAGTGGATCTCCCAAGCGATTCCCCAAAGCTGTTTTGCCACCTTCCAGTCAGGGCCTGGCTCCGGATGAGGGACAGTAGAGGGCTCTGAAAGCGTGATATTGGTTGACGAAGAACTTGACATGGCAGAAGTGAACTAAACGCGGGAAAATATCTTATGCTTGAACAGCTGGCTGTACCAGCTTAACTAACACGTTTTGTGAAGCCACTCTGGAATTGTGGGAAATCGTTAAGACACGACGTGATTAGTTTAACAATAAGCAGAAATGACCCGCAATCAATGTGAAAAGTGAGCGTTCGTCTATTGTCCTTTGCTTTCAACTCAAAAACGATTAAAACAGCTTGAGAATCACTTCAGTTTTTTTTTTATCAAGGGCACGAGTTGCTGGCAATAAACCGCCCCCGTACTTCGCTACTGTTTGAAGCAAGATGTGGGAGTGAATGTCCCAGACCTGATTTTGTTGCACTACAGATGAAAGTCGAGCGATACGATAAAAACTTCCATGATGTAGTCAAAACGCTGACTGATAAGACCATCCGTAATACACCGTTAAAAATAATAGTCAATCCTAAGTTCAGCTGGTAAAATTCTGCCTGTCGTAAAATACCGATCCGCAATCAATATTTTGTCCAATAGATTCTTGGAGATCGAAAACGAACGGCTTC